TCAGCTGACCCTCCTTGTGATCGAACAGAGGTGCCAGGGGATGGATGATAGCCTTCTGGCACAGGTAGAAGGCCTCGATAACGTTCCGTTGCTCTTTGGCGCTCGATCGGATACAAGAATCTATCTCTTTAAACTCGGCCATTATGGGCAACATTTCCTCCTCGATGACCTGACCTGTCTTGCCGTCGCCAGTGAGGTCAGACTTGTTGGCACATATAACGACAGGCACGTTGACACCGAGAGAGCGAAAGTAGGGCATCCAGAACAAGGCCACGCGTTCGTAGCTGTAATTATCAGAGTAGACAAGGAGTATGACGTTGGATTTGCGGATCTCCTTCCTAAGGGTGGTCCTATCCTGCGGTCGGGCTGATGTGTCGACGATCGTGGTAGTTACATTCGCGGGCGCGCCCATGCTCGCGGGGATGGTGATCTGAGGCAGGACCGATTGGATCTTGCTCGTGACGAAGACATCTTTGACCAGCGAGGCGATCAAGCTGGACTTTCCGGTGCCTTCATCGCCGCAGACGCAGACGCGGACTTCTAAGCATGACTGGTCAGCTGGGACTGGATTGACACAATCCATCATCTGATACGATCCCCCTATTAACCTCCACAAGGCCGAGGGAGTGCTATTGGAGGGCGTACCGGTGGTGGCCATTTCCGTCGTGGGCAAGCTGCTGCTCCCTGATTTTGGTCACCGGCAATCCCTTTTCAGAGCACTGCCATAACCCAGATCCCCGCGTATACGGGAGGGAGCACGGGTCGAAGAGCAAGGCGATGGTCGACAGTCGAAAGCAAAACTGGCGATATGCAACAAATGATACTGGCTGCCGGGGCCTGTCGAGTCGAATGATCGAATGATCTGATCTGGGTTTGGTCTGCAGCGACCGGGCTTGGTCCTCGGCTCCCTGAGCTGCGGGCTGCCGTTACTTATCGATAGATTTCAAGCCTTGTCCCCGCCTAATTGGGAATCCTAGCTTCCCATTGGAACAGCCCCACCCGCTCTGAACGACGACATTGGAGCTGAAACCTAACTCGAGGGACTTTTGCAGCAGGGTTGTTAGACACCTCCAAAGTTTGGTGCGGGAATGCCAAATCTTGTGCACTGACTCTGAATGTAAAGTAGGAACAGGTCTTGTACATGCTTACAGAGTTGCAGCGCATACAATATAGGAGGCAAGGTACCTTAGTCACCGACCGTCGGGTATGGACTTACCTACCTGCTAGTTACGTGTAGAGACCTAGACCGAATTTGCATGGCCTCTTGAGATAATCTCGAGTTGTTGTCTACTTGTCAATCAAAACCTTATAGCCTACCAAACAGGGAGGGGGTATTTACTATGAAAATTGTGTAGTCGACAGAGACCACTAATAATCATGCAAAGCACTTTGCCTGGCTTGAGAGTATGGGGAGACTACCTTAACTTATAGGTAAGGCAGTGAGTAGGTGTATGGAAGCCATTCGTAACTCCTTGGGTACGTAGTGTAACTTGTTGGATGGAAGCAATGGATGCCCTCTCCACCTTGGCGGGGGCCGGGTTACGCATTGCTTCTCCACCTCCACACTTCCCCACACCTCAGAGAGACTGTCCAGCCGTTGCGGGAAGCTGGCTCGCCTGGCTGGCCTATTTACTGCTGGGAGGCTCGAGGTTCCCCAGTCTCCGTCAGCAGGATTACCTTAGGGACCCCGGTAGCTGTCCGTCCCGGCCGCTCATTCTACTCCACGATGGTTTGAAGGCCAGCGCCACTATCGCCAGCTTCACCTGGCCCTTTCCAGGTTGTCCAGTGCTTTGCGTCTCGCCCGAAGCCCAAGGCACCTGCCCGTCATTTCATCTGCACACCACCTGCAACCACCCCCCTCCCCCCTAGCGAGCTGAACAAGCCAAGCGAACCTGCCAAGGAGCCAGCCAGACAGGCCACCCACCATCCCATCCCCCTTCCGGCCGGCGCATCAGCGCAATCCCGCTGGCGACCACGCCACAGCCGTTACCATGTTGTAAGGAGACACCCAAGAAGTCCCTGGGCACCGGGTTGCCCAAAAGGAGTCAAGAAGGGAGGAACAAGCCAGATTCCATCCCAACTCGAACGGGGCAGGGGCAGGGGCGCTCGTCGTCCGTACATTACATACGGCACCTCAAACAAATAGCTAACCTACACGTCAACCCTACTCTCTCACAGCGTCCTCCCTCCTCCGCCACGGTATCCCACCCAGGCGGCATATAATGCCGCTGTCGGGACTGGCCAGGTCGCTCCCATGATAGAAACCAACAATATCCTCACGAGTCCTTCGGGACCCGAATACCAGTTTCTGGTCGGCGAGGGTGAGCTTCTACCCAATCGCATTCCCGCCGTGGCGCCGTCGATCCCCTGCTAAGTAACCTTGCGCTCTGCACCTCGCCCTTCCTCAGGCCTCTACGTGCTCAAGGAAGATCTCCATCTCGCGACTCCTCCTCCCCACCCCTCGGAAGCCCCCATCGTCAACCCGAATCCCCTCGCAACGACGCCCCCGCCTGCCACTGCCGGCACCAAGCTGTCACTGGCCAACCTCGACGTGCGCCCCCTGCCTGCCGCCTTCTACAGGGTCACGTCGCCCTCAAGCGGCCTGCAGCAGAGCATCCAAGAACACCCTGACGAGAGCAAGTCGTCGTCCGAGGCGCGCGAGAGCAGCAGCGAGGCCGGTCGCATCGCTTCTAGCGATGTACTACTCATCGTGTCAAATGCGCCCGCCTTTGGTGAGGGAAACGCGTTGCTCGCGCCGCCCAATTCCAAGGACGCGAACAAGCGTCGGAAGCCCAAGAACAACGTGACCAAGAGCAACTCTTCCTTCATCTCCAGAGTTATTGTCCACGAGACACTAAACAAGAGATTGCAAGATCGCCCTAGTGATGGCCTTTTCGCCTTCGCCAACATCAACCGCGCCTTTCAATGGCTGGACCTCTCGTCCCCATCTAAGGTGAGCAATGTCGGCGCCCTATGTTGAGCTCGCACTAGCCCCGGCACCGCTGACAGTTGGCAGGCCGAGTATTTAACGAAAATACTATTCACAAAGGCGCATTGTCTCTGCCATGACGTAAATCTGCTAACCAAGAGCTCGTCGCACATTGACGTGATTATGGGGTTCTCAACTGGAGAGATCATATGGTGGGAACCCATCTCGCAGCGATACACGCGACTCAACAAGAACGTATGGGACTCTCTAGACTTCTTCGCCTACCCCTAGTATGAGCGCCGTATCTGAAATGTTCCTGAAGCTAACCATGGCATACAGGGGATTATCAACGGAACGCCAGTTTCGGAAATTAGGTGGATTCCTGGCTCAGAACACCTGTTCCTAGCTGCGCACATGGATGGATCTCTTGTTGTCTACGACAAGGAAAAGGAGGACGCCACTTTCTCCGCCGACGAAGAGGCAGGGGCAGGGCTGCAGACAAACGGAGAGGTGAACTCGGACACTGCCAGCAAAGGAGTCTCCAACTCCAGCCAAATACAGATTAACAAGTCGGTCCACTCCAAAAACCAAAAGTCAAACCCCGTGGCGGTATGGAAGCTGTCCAACCAGCGAATAAATGCATTTGCATTCTCCCCCGACCACAGGCACCTCGCCGTTGTCTCAGAAGACGGCTCACTGAGGATAATCGATTACCTCAAGGAAGAGTAAGAACCCCCGGGCTGGGCTTTGTCGTCTGAAGCGTCCCTCGTGCTCACCAGTTACGCATCAACAGGCTTTTGGACTTATTCTACTCGTACTATGGGGGTCTAATATGCGTCTGCTGGTCACCTGACGGCAAGTATGTCTTGACCGGTGGGCAAGACGACCTCATCTCGATTTGGTGTCCGTCCGAGTCGGCGCTTATAGCCCGGTGCCAGGGTCACCACTCGTGGGTGACGTCGGTAGCGTTTGACCCCTGGCGATGTGACGATAAGAACTACAGGTTTGGGAGTGTCGGAGAGGACCGTAGGATATGTCTGTGGGATTTCAGTGTCGGCATGTTGCATCGCCCAAAAGCTGTAAGTGGCCACTGAGCTTCCGTGCCCTCTCATTAATATTGCTGACATTTGCAACAATGTAGGCCTCCGTACATCACCATCAGCGGGGTGGTTCGGTTTCGTCGCGTCTGGTGTCGCTTCAAAGGGCCGAGAGTTCACAGAACGGCTACGGGGCTGGAGAAGAGGCAGCGGAGAAGATACTGCCACATGCCGTGGAACCGCGTTCAAGGACGGCCATGCTTCCGCCTGTGTTGGTAAGGGAGGAAATCCATATCCAGTCTCCTTCAGTAAACATTCGTCCAGCTGACACGTAATTTCTCGCGCCGCAGAGCAAGACGATTGATGAGGACCCGCTGTGCTGGATTGACTTTACCCAGGATGCTATCCTTACTAGCTGTAAATCAGGTACGTCTCTCATCATCATTAGTAGCGAAGGGAGGGCAAGGATGCTGACACTGCTCTGATGAAATTAGGCCATCTGAGGACGTGGAGTCGCCCATCAGACACGTCGCCCCAGTTGGATGAAGAGACGGATAGCTCGCAAGTGTGATGTGTGACGATAGCAATGATATATGCCCGAGGTACGGCGTTTGTTCTTTTACGGTGCGGCAATGGTTGTTTTGAATGGGCAGAAGTAAGGGAAGGGAGCTTGTTTGGTTGCCGAGTACAATATGAAAGAGCCCAAGCGGATTGCTTTTGTAATAAAACGGAGAGAGAGTTTGAGAGCGCATGGGACACAAAAAGAATCCATGTACTGTACAAATACAATGTCTGCTCGTCTTATATAAGTCTTAGGTGCATTGTTATGTCAACTTTACTTCAATGGCTCTGAATGTAATTAAATGAGTCAAATATTGAGAATATGGCTTTATAAACGCCGTGTATTGGGTATTTCTGAGAACCATTTCATGGTGTTGGTTAAATAGGAGTAAAGTTAACAAAATGCTCCCCCAGTGGTAGAAGACTGCCCTCGATAAGGGAAATTTCGGGCGCGGATTGATATAATCCAATAAGCGTCAATGGTCTAGTGGTTAGGATTCAACCCTTCCATGATTGTAAGGTTGAGGGGGGGGTTCGATTCCCTCTTGACGCATTATTTTTTGCGATTTAGCTATATAACTTTTTACCGTTCTTGATTATCGGGTCTCTGACATATTCTCCTTTATTTTGTCCCTTCAAAGTCGATCATATTAATCAAATATTTTGATATAACACGCAAGTTACTAAGTGCTTCTCCTCTATCTTATGAACGGATTAAGTATACGCCGTAGCCAGGTCCCAGGTCCCTGGGACTCTGGTTCAAGCTTTCGCCGACATGCATTGCATAATTAGATAGATTATCGCCCTGCATGCGCGCTTTTGGGGCTTCTGGAAAGTGTCAACTGCCATCTCGGCTTGATGTCACCGAGGCTCGGTGGGGTGGCATCCCTCGGCAGTCTTAAGAGTGTGCAGCCATGTCGCAACCACGGCGGGTCAAACGCCATTTAACATGGCATGTTCCCGTGGTGCAATTTAAACCCGGCGGCCGTCTATGGATGGGATGAGGTAAATACGGTAAGTACCTTACCTTATTATTTTTATTCCCTAGGCGATATCACCAAAGAAAGTCGTTTACCGCACACGGGTCTTCTGTTCTTTTGTTACGGAATGGTGTCATGCCGGGAAGATGGACGGATGCAAGAGAGGTGATGTGGGCCGTCGGACGTGCTCGGCAATTCCTTTTAAGCCAGAGAGCCCCGGGAGCTTCCGAGGCTTGTTCTGTCGCTGCTTGTATCTTTTTGTAACAACGTTCAAAGTTCAGTACTATGTAATAAGTGGAATCACTGGGTCTTTGAAGTTTCGCCTCGCATTCTCAACAATGTGTACATTCGGGTAGATATCTATTAATGGGGTGGTGGGAGGCGTCATCGCCCAGGTTTGCTTGCGGGTTTCAATCTGCCCGGGTTCTGATAGACAGTGCAAAGGCTGAAAGCGAAGAGGTTGTGTTTTTGCCACATTCACGAGAGGCTTGCCCATAAGGCTGATGCCGTGTCATGGAATGCTGAGATAGCGTGCTGGGAAGCATGCATGCAGAAGAACGTGGCGTGATAGCCTTGTCAAAATCTCCCAAGCCGTGGTCCCTGTCTCCCTGCCTCTCTTTCATGTGAAACAGCGGGCAGGACGCACCAGAGGGGGAAATAGTATTTTGCAGAAATGCGAGATATGAGTCAATGTTGGTTGACCGTGGATCCTCTATGAGGCAAGAAGGCTGCGAAATGGGAGAAGCAGGCTTTTTCTTCTTGTTTTTTGCCGTCTTTAATGGGTCTTTTCTCTTCGCGAGGTGGGTATTCAGAAGAATTCACTCTCGATGCCTGTAAGGCGTGTGGCGGTGTATGTCCAATTGGAAGCGCTAAAAAGCCACCGATTGTCGGCGTCCCAATCAACCCCCCATCCCGCCGATACCCAACCGGTGAGATTTCATGGTAGAAATTCCATCGCACGGTTATTATGGTAAAAGGTAGCAATGCAACGCATTGGAGCGAATAGAATGTCGTTGCGACACTTCCCAACACTTCCGTTTCCCTTTCATGAGCCAGCGCGCGAAAAGATCGCCTCGGTTTGCAGGGCGTTATCTCCAGTGCGCCGGGATAGATCGGTGAACTTGAACCGAGAAGCCGACACCGGGCTACCCTGCCTTGAAAGCGGGACTGGGTTTAAAAAGCCGTTTGGTGGGGTTGATAATTACGGGCAGGTGGGAATCTCCTTTTTGTCATCGCCGATCCGGTATTTGAGTGCATTTAATTCTTACACCCATGTTGTAGTGTAGTGTAAATATGTACAAGTTAGTAAACTGACCTTCACACAAAACAATTCAAGGAGAAACGCTCCGTTCTGACGCTCCGTTCTGGGGCCGCGTTATCCATGCGCGCACTTTCGCTTGTCTGGGGCGCAGGTGGCGGGCTCGTCACGAGAGTCTCCTTCGGCTTGCCTGCCACTCTATCAACCTTGGGTGGGAGCAAAGCGATGTCACATTTCACCCTGAGCGTTGGCCAGCAGGACCCTTTTGTCTCGCGTCAGCGCCCCAAAGGCACAGCTGGGGTTGGGCATCAGGCTTCCAGTCTTTGTTGGCAAGACACGCCAACAGTTCCATGCATCCCCAAGGCGTCTCAGGTTTGAGGTATGGTGGTTTGGAGGAAACCCGCTGATAGCGCCATATGATCTTGGGATGGCAAGGCAAATGTCAGTTGGCCATCAGGTTCAGGAAGCTGGCTGTCGTGGAGGAGCCAAAACGAAAGAGAAAAATGCTGCCGCCCTCTCCCGCCTGCCGAATTCGGCAGCATTCTAGATTCGTTGACGGCAGGATGGTGGGGGTTACATCTGTGGCTAAGCGCCAAGACGGTGCTTCCACAAGGGGCGTATTGGGGGCAACGGCGCTCTCCAACACGACAAAGAATTCGAACAAAGGAAGCCCGCTCACCTCAACCAAAGAATGGCAGGCGCGCGCGACACGAAGTCAGGCTTCTTTCGGCTCTTGCCAACAAACAGCCAGCAGGAGGCCACGAATATATGCATTCGTAAGGAAGGTAAGTAAGTCAAAGTATTAGGGCGTACCCTACGTATCTTGTGTCTAGCAGCCTTACCGTATTCTGACGGTCTTCCGTCTCTTCCATTGCCGGGAACGCCGTTACTCAGCATCTCAGCTTGGAACTGTCTCAGCCAGTGGAAGTCAGAGACGGTGATAAGGCACGCATCGTTTTGCTGGCACCCCACGCGGCGAGCTTGCCAACCCACTAACCCGGTATCCCGTAAATAAGGTAAGTTAGGTAGCGGTATACACGCAGTATAAGCCTTCCTCACGTTTACAGGCTACACACATTCCGAGATTTTTTCTATCGTTTTCCCTGTGTTCCCCACTTCCTCGTGCCACTTCCATCACTCGTGAGCTGTGCATGTTCAATACAAAGTCTCAGTGACGGCTGTCCGCTTTCGCACACCTCCACCTCAGCTGCTTCAAGGTAAGGTAAATACCTGTTACAGTACATGCTTGGAAATCGGCTGCCTGGTTGCGACTGCGTTTCCAACGTTCCATTGCTCGTGCTCACGTGTGACGGATGCGGGAAGCGGAATTCTGGGCATTTCGATCCAATGCGCAGATACGTTGTATTACCAGACTATGATGCCCAGTTGTTGGGAAGGCAGTCGCGGCCCTGTAGTTACATGCCCATACCTATAATTGGACTGAGTTCTGAGATGTTCCGCCTGCCGTCGCGGAGGCTCATTGCGGTTGGCTTATTGGGCCATGCATGAGCTGGGTTCGCTCGCTTATGGGCTTACTTTGGGGCTTGCATGGACCCCTGGACAGATCGGCCTCCACCTCTCCACTTCACCAACAGGCCAGGTACTGCACCGTATTCTCTCGTACCGTTGTCGTGCGACGGTATCCGTACCTGACTGACTCCGGCCTCGACCGTCTAGACCTTCACTTCCCTAACTGCCTTCTTGCCCTGCCCTGCAATGGCTCCCTCTCGAAGCTTTTGTCCCTTTCCCGTCACTTCTTCTTTCCCTCCCATTTCTTTTGCAGGTAAATCAAACAAACGCCTTCCTACAGTGCACAATTCAGCCCGCCGTCACTTTTGCGCCCCTCTTCTTCAAGGACCACCCTTCGGATCCGCACCCCAGGATCGCCAACGGCAACCAACTTGTGTCTGACGTGCCGCACACTGCGCTGCCCTGCCTCGACCTACCCGCCTCCCTACATGGTTAGCAGATACGCTGGGTAGATGACAGGAATATACCAATATCTCTACTTGGGCGCCGCCGCTTCTGCTCTTTTGCAACAGTAGAGCAGCAACCTCTTTGCTCTTCGTTGTTTGGCAATGCCTTCCTTTAACCCATTTACGTCGGTGACCGGGAGACACGCCTACACCCTCTTCGAGATCCGGTAAGTTCTTGCCCCAATCCCTAGATCTTTTGCGCTCGCCGCATTCGGGATTATTTCTAACCCGCATCCTAGACTCGAGAATGACTTCATTGTGTTCCGCGGCAACGAACATGAATCGTCGGGACAGCTTCTGAAGGGCACCGTCGTGCTGTGCCTGCCGTCTTCCCTCAAAATCGAAGACATACATTTGAGATTGACGGGCACCCTCCAATACAAGTACGAATCTGACATTGCTTTTCTTTGGAACTTGAGGAAGATGAAGAAGCTGACCACGACTGCTAGTTGGACGGACACGAAAGTGACACCCACAGGGATATCGAGCCAAAAAGTGGACAGAACTTCAACAATATTCTCGCACAGATGGACCCCGTTTGCCGGTATTGGAGCGCCCGACGGCTCGCCGAACTCGTCTGCCACCGCTACACATACCAAAGGCGTTATCTTGCCGGCCGGGAACTACGAATGGCCCTTCGAACTGCTGCTACCGGGACAGACGACGGAGAGCGTCGAAGGCATGCGCGAGGCGAGCATCACATACAAGCTCAAGGCAACGGTAGCACGGGGAAAGCTGGCATACGATCTGCACGCCTATAAGCGCCTGCGAATCATCCGAACCCTCGAGTCGTCAGCCCTCGAATTCCTACACGCCATGAGTGTCGAGAATATTTGGCCCAACAAGGTTGAATACTCGATTGTGATTCCGCAAAAGGCAGTCGTTTTTGGCAGCTCAATTCCTCTCGAGACGAGATTTACACCGCTCCTGAAAGGGCTGGAGTTGGGCGATATTACAATCAGGCTGTTGGAGGTTCACGACATTCTTCTACAGTCGCACGCGACTCACAGCGTCCGGGAGCACAAAAAAGAAAAGGAGATTGCGTCGTGGACCATTCCCATGAGCAGGGACGAGCATTGGCAAGACATGATCGAAGACACGGGCCAAGAGGGTTGGGTGATGGGCACTGCCTTGGATCTGCCGAGGAAGTTGGGCAAATGCCTCCAGGACGTGAATGCGCAAGGGATTAAGATCCGGCACAAGTTGAAGCTTGTCGTTGCGCTCAAGAACCCCGACGGGCACATCTCGGAGCTTCGCGCAACGCTTCCCGTGACCATTTTTATCTCGCCCAACATGCCGTTGGACGAGGATGGAAACCTGGTACGACAGCTGCCCCAAG